CTCAACATGTGCAACCCATCACTACTATCTATTTCCACATTTTTCTATTACCCTTAGCAGAAATTCAGTGTCCCTTAAGTGATGACTCCCCAACTAATTCTCCCCTGGTAACCACTAATAAACTTTAATCTCTATTCATTTGCCTATTCGGGGTATGTCATGGAAGTGGATCATACAGTATTTCCCTTTTGTGTCTGACTTATTTCACTCAGCATAATGTTTTCAAGGTTCATCCCTGTTGTAGCAACCCTCATTGGGTTTCCAAGGCAGTAAATATTTATGGAAATAGATTGCCGAGTCTTGCTTCCACAGAGTGGCTTTAAGGGCTTGAACCACCAACCTTCTAGTTAGCAGTCAGATGCGTCAGGCACTGTGCTTACCAGAACTCCTTTCTCTTTATGGCCGAGTAATATTCCACTGTAGGTATGCATCATATTTTATTTATACAGTCATCTGCTGATAAATGTTTAGGTTGTTTCTACCTTTTGGCTATTGTGAACAATGCTGCAATAAATAATGATGCACAAGTAAGTTGCTTTTAGGTTTTTTTTAGGTGTATATCCAGGAGAGGAAGTGCTGGGTCATCTGGTAGTTCTGTTTAGCTTTTTGAGGTACCACCAACCTGTTTATCCACCGGGGTTACAATATTTTATATACCCACAAGCAATAATGTGTGATATTTTATGCTGTAATTTTGGGGTAATGTGCTATGGATACTATTATATAATTTATATTGTATATATTATATATATATTATGATAATTAATACAACAGAATTATCTTGTTTTAAAGTCATGAGACCATAATAGTTCTTTAAAAAAGGAAAGAGACTTAAAATTTCTTTACTTCAAATAAACATAAATTATTTTTAGGCTGACTTTGTTCATCGAAGAGAAATGTTCAATTTTATGTATCTTCTCAGGGTAGGTAAAAATACTTATACACAAGACTAGCAGAGTCACCACCAATGGAAAACAGGTCTCTTTTCTCATGAAATAATGATGGGCAGTGTTAGGCAGGAAGATAGGACAGGAGGGCTGCCCTGGCGGTGTAGGCCCGAAGGGAGGAGTAAAGAGAGGGGCAGAATATTTAAGGAGGTTAATGAGCTAACACCTGCAACAGCCCAAACCACCTGTGTGGCCTGGCCAATCAAAATTAAGCAGAATGACCACAGACTCAGGAACCTGAGGTTTTGGGAAATTGCCTAATTTGGAGCATATGCAGAAGTCTCATACCTCTAACCCAAAGTAACCTTATGATGTGGCCATACCATTATAATCTTACCAGCACCACCTTCTCATGTGGTTTCAATTTGGATTTCATGTGGAACATGTGCAGAAGGCCTCTTAGGGACCTATCACTCAACAGACTCCACCCTGCGTTAAGAATGCTCCTTCATGGCAATGTACCAAATGTGAGTGACCAATATGGCAGCATTGAGGATGAGAAAGACATAGAGAGTTACATGGGCAGTACAGACAACAAA